AGAGTGTTGGTTGAGTGATCAGAGCGCGACGCCCTTAGCTTCATATGTGGTCCAATTCAAGGAGAAGTTGCGTCTGGCTGTAGAACTTGCCCAGTCCAACTTAAGGTGTGCTCAGGTGAAAATGAAACTGCATTTTGATAAGGCCCATCAGGCAAAACCTAGAGAATTCCAAGTGGGGGAGCAGGTGTTGGCCTTCCTGCCCTTACATGATCACCCTTTTAAATCCAAATACAGTGGTCCATATGAAGTACTAGAAAAACAGGGGTCCGTGAATTATGTGATTAGCACCCCTGAACGGCGTAAGAAAAAACGCCTTATCCATGTCAATCTTTTAAAGTCATATCATGTTCGTAACGAAACCCTGGGAAAAGCAGTTGCTTGTGTTGATCAATCCTTGCCAAATTGTATCATTGTGCCAGAGTGTAAGGATGATAAAGATCAGTGTTTTTTCTGAAATAATGAATGGGTCTAGTGTAAAAGTTGAAAACTCTACTATCTTGGAGGACCCCAGTGCTAAGTTGTGTCATCTCTCTAGTGACCAAGCCAATAATATAAAGTCTCTATTACAGGAGTATCTTATTATAGTTGGTGATTACCCACTCTCTTGTTCAGTGCTGGAGCATGACGTTGAGACCAGGGGAGCCAAGCCAATCCGACAGCGTCCCTACCGTCTTAATGCCTTCAAGCGGGAGTGTGTGCGAGCCGAGGTACAGCGTCTTCAAGAGCTAGGCCTCATCGAACCCATGCCCACGTCACTTTCTTGGGGCATGTGGTCGGACAAGGGGAAGTCCAGCCTATAGCAGCCAAAATTGAGGCAATTCAACAGTATCCAGTGCCAGGCGATAAGAAGAGTGTGATGAGGTTGCTGGGTATGGTGGGGTACTACCGCCGTTTTTGTCCAAACTTCTCCTCCGTTGCCTCTCCCATGACTGACCTGCTGAGTGGCAAGAAAACCTTCAAGTGGACTACGGCTTGCCAGGAATCTTTTGAGAATCTTAAATCCCTGCTGGCAAATGCTCCTGTACTACTTGCACCTGACCTCCAGAAACAGTTCACTCTCCATGTCGACGCCAGTGAAATTGGCGCCGGTGCTGTGCTTCTGCAAGAGGGTGAGAGTGATCAAGTGCTTCATCCGCTGTGCTATTTTTCTAGAAAATTTAACAAATATCAAAGAAACTATGCCACCATTGAAAAGGAGGCTTTATCACTGATCATGGCACTAGAAAACTTCAAAGTATATATTGGCAGCACTGCTTATCCCATTCAAGTGTTCACTGATCATAACCCACTTACTTTTGTTGACAAGATGAAACATACCAACCAAAGACTTTTGAGGTGGGCTCTATCACTTCAGCCCTATAACTTGAACATTTCCCATATCCGCGGAAAAGAGAACGTGTTGGCTGATGCACTTTCTCGAGTCTGATTATTTAGTAACTATGTCTATATGCAAATTATTTTTTGTTTTATTGTCATTGAGTACCTTGTGTTTATATTATGAATTATTTTGCTTCATATTGATTTAAACCAATTGTGTTAGTTATTACTTTCACTGTGTAGCTGTATATCCATTTTCGCTTCCAGTTAGTTGTAAGCTCACTTTTTTGGGGGAGGTGTCACGTGCCTGTGGCGCTCGGGAACTCGCATAGCGTGAGGCATATGTTCACGCCTACATTTCATACAAGCTATTAATAAATTGTTAATTGTACTTATTATATTATTATTGTTCTTAGTTACTTAGGTTAATTGTATATTTATGTATGTAATTTATATGCATCATTGTCTTACTCTGTTAAGTCAACTCAAGAGTAATATTAATTAATTATATAAAATATCCAGCAAATGTCTAGATCACGTGAGATGAGACGCGCTACTCGGCGTGCCCACGCTTCCCCAGTAGCGAAAAGCCGTGGCATAGGTTAGACGTGTCCATTCGTTCTCTAGCCTTGACCCTTGTCTAGTGCTTTATCCAGCCTTCTGCAATGCCCTAGGGGTATCAGGTATTAGTGACACGTTTAGTTAGGCCTAGGAAGGGATCCTGGTGGTAAGGAATCTCCTGTTTGGTAGGGATAATCATTTTGTAGTGATTGTTGTATATATATATTTCGTATGTCTTGTGTAATATAGTAATGTTAAGTAATATTTGTTTGGTCTAACTCCTTACAGCATATTTACGCCCTTCCGGCATCACTCTTATATTATACACTTACTTATTCCCTTAAATTCATGTTTGCTAGTCATTACTCCCTTTAGAACATAAATTGAATTAATTAATTATCTTCCCTTTTGTGGTTCACTTATTTCAACTGTTCTTACTTTTTTCAAGTACATTTAGTTGAGTAGGTATTTGGTGGGGATAATTATTGCCGTGTTCCCTATTTGTACCTTTATTTGTTAATAACTTGGGGTAGGATTCACTCCCCAAGTATAAAGGATATTGGGATCGCGACAGTAAGCAAATGACTATAATATATTCACTAGTATACTACATAAAGCACAAGAACAAAATATACCTTACAGAAAAATTAGGTCAAATAAGAATGAGCCAAGGTGGATGACCAGAAAACTTAAACATGACATAGGAATAAAGAAAGGAATTTATAAGAAATTAAAGGGAGGGGAGTAGCAGCTCAGAAATAGGTATAATGAACTATCTAGGAATGTTAAGAAAAATGTAAGGAAAGCAAAGAGAGACTATGAAGTCAAAATAGCAAGAGAATCCATGGCGAATTCCAAGGGATTTTTCCAGGTATATAGAACAAAAGTCAAGGACAAAGTTGGGCCTTTAAAGTCAGGGAGGGGAGAAATGATAAATGGCAGTGAAGAAAAATAAGCAAAGCATTGAACAACTACTTCTTATCAGTTTTCACAGAAGAAATTCACGAGGAAATTCCAGAGGTGGAACTGATATTTAGGGGAACGGAAGAAGAGAAATTAAAGAATATCACTATCAGAAAAGAGGATGTTCTTAAGAGGATAAATAAACTAAAGAAGACAAAATCCCCAGGGCCGGATGAAATTTTCCCTCGAGTCTTGAAAGAGTGTAGGGAACAGATTAGCGGACCCCTTTTAAATTTATTTACAAAATCATTAGACACCGGATTTGTGCCAGACTTGTGGAAACAGGCAAATGTAGTACCCATATTCAAAAAGGGAGACAGAGCATCAGCGTCAAATTACCGGCAGATCAGTTTGACGTCAGTAGTGGGGAAATTTCTTGAATCAATTATTGCAGATAGCATCCGATCGCATGTAGAGAAAAACAAATTAATCGACGACTCGCAACATGGGTTTGCAATGGGAAAATCTTGCCTAACAAATCTGCTGACGTTTTTCAGGAAATTCTTCGAGGTAGTAGATAATGACGAAAATTACGATGTTAATTACTTAGACTTTAGCAAAGCATTTGACAGAGTACAGCATCAGAGGCTTCTGAGAAAAATTAAGGCTCATGGTATCGAGGGGAAAGTTTTAAATTGGATAAAATCATGGCTCACCGATAGAAAGCAGAGGGTCAGCGTAGATGGTGTTAAATTCTGAGTGGGGCCGTGTAACCAGTGGGGTTCCCCAGGGGTCAGTACTAGGCCCACTCTTGTTCATAATGTACATAAACGATCTAGATACTGGGATCAGCAGTGATATAAGCAAGTTTGCGGATGACACCAAAATAGGGCGGCAGATTAATTCACGGCAGGATGCAAATGCATTACAGGTGGATCTAAATAAACTGCAGGGGTGGTCTGAAAAATGGCAAATGAAATTCAACACCAGCAAGTGCAGCGTACTTAATATTGGAAGAACAAATACTGACAATGTATACAGCCTTAACAACATCAACCTAGAGAAGTCGACTTGTGAAAGAGACCTAGGGGTACTTGTAAGCCCGGACCTACGGCTTAGAAAACAGTGCGTTTATGTTCGAAATAAGGCAAACAGAGTATTGGGTTTTATATCTAGAAGTGTAAGTAATAAGAGTGCAGAGGTCTTATTGCAACTATATCTTGCGCTAGTCAGGCAGCACCTCGATTATGCGCGGTTCAGTTCTGGTGCCCTTATTATAGAATGGATATCAATTCACTAGAGTCGGTGCAGTGAAGAATGACGAAAATGATTCCGGACTTAGAAACCTTCCATATCAGGATAGGTTAAAGAAACTTAACTTGCATTCCTAGAAAGACGAGAGTGCGGGAAGATATGATAGAAGTATTTAAGTGGTGAAAGGAATCAATGAAGGGGATATAGATAAAGTTCTTATAATATCCGAGCAGGATAGGACTCGGAGCAACGGATTTAAGTTGGATAAGTTTATGTTTAGGAGGGAGATAGGAAGAAACTGGTTCACAAATAGGGTGGTGGACGAGTGGAACAAGCTTAGCAACCTTGTAGTAAGTGCTGGAACTCTGGAAAGTTTCAAAAGGAGGCCAGATAGATTCATGGATGATAGAGCGTGGTAGTAACTCTCGACAGGAGCTGCCATGCACATTGCACAGGCCAACCGGCCTATTGCAGACTCCATATTTTCTTATGTTCTTATGTAAATGCTGTGTACTCCTGATATCCTGCGAATACACACACACACACACACACACACACACACACACACACACACACACACACACACATGCACATAAGATGACAGAGGACAGGGTAAAGATATAATGATAAAAGTTGAGGATGAGTCATATCTGGTGGTGAACACAGTATACCCTAACCAGCTGTCACCACCATGCGCCGCGCTGGGAGAGGAGTCGTGAGGTCGACAGTCGGTCACACCCACACCACCCAAAGTTGCCATCTCTCTTACCACAACCAACATTTTACGTACAACTTACTTACAGGGTAATCCCGTTGTTATTGAGTCGCTATAGAACGTCAAAAAAGTCTGTCAAGCTTCATATCATAAGAGATCGAATACCAGATTCTTTATCACTGAGTTATGTGAATATTATTATCAGGCAGCTGCGTAAGGCCCAGTTTTCCCAGTGTTTGTGAACCTGTATGTACGAAGGGTCGGGTGAATTCCCAAGTCAGTGTTGCGTTATAACTTGTGTGGTAAGACAGGATGATGGTGGTGCCTCGAGTCGTGATCTCAGCGGCCCTTCTCCTGGCGGCGCTGCTGGTGACCGACGCCCAGTACAGCTATAACCTCAGACCCATCATAGGTGAGTTTAAACTTAAGATTCACTAAACTGTGCTAGTTGTCGCAAATATAGGAAAAAAAGTCACGAGAAAAAAGTCACAGGGATATACTCACAGGAAAAATAACAGGAAAAGATAAAAAAAATAGAAAAAAGTCTCTTACTCTAACATAACAAAAAGTCTGATTTATTATTATTTTTGGTCTTTTTTGTGACTTTTCGGTCACCGCGGTCTTAAGTAGGCTACCCGAGTAAAAGCCGTGACCTGTGAGTGTTCTCCAAATAATGTACCTCTCTTGAGCTTGTGTGGGATACCTGGAGTGATTATAATAACACAGGTGCACTTAACTAAAAAAAATAGAAGCAAAAAAAGCAAAATTATAAGAAATAGACACACGTGTAGGAGAGTGTACTGTAGGTATAAACACTGAGAATGACCAGTGATGGCATGGGGAGCTGTGTGGAGTGTGGGTGCGGGAGGTCCAGGGAGAGGGTGTGGGAGGTCCAGGGTGAGGGTGCGGGAGATCTAGGGTGAGGGAGGTCCAGGGTGAGGGTGCGGGAGGTCTAGGGTGAGGGTGCGGGAGGTCCAGGGTGAGGGTGCGGGAGGTCCAGGGTGAGGGTGCGGGAGGTCCAGGGTGAGGGTGCGGGAGGTCTAGGGTGAGGGAGCGGGACTCTCTAGGTGCGGTCTAGAGTGAGGGTAGGGGAGGTGTGTGGAGTGAGGGTACAGGAAGTGTGTGGAGTGTGGGTGCGGGAAGTCTAGGGTGAGGGTGGGGAAGGTGTGTGGAGTGATGGTGCAGGAGTCTGTAGGGTGAGGGTGCAGGAGGTCTAGGGTGAGGGAGTCTGTACAGCGAGGGTGCCGGAGCCTGGAGAGTGAAGGTGAAGGAGGTTTAGGGTGAGGGTGCGGGAAGTCTAGGGTGAGGGTGTGGGAGATGTAGGGTGAGGGAGTCTGTAGAGTGAGGGTGCGGGAGGTTTAGGGTGAGGGAGGTCTAGGGTGAGGGAGTATGTAGAATGAGGGTGCAGGAATCTGTAGAGTGAGGGGGCGGAAGGTCTTGACTCTATAGGGTCAGGGTGCGGCAGGCGTGTAGAGTGAAGGTATGTCAGACACAGATGGGTCCACACAGCTCCAAAGGATCGTTCCGCATAATACTGAGTAGCACATGGACCTACTGCAGGCCTTGATGTGTGTGTGTGTGGGGGGGGGGGCTACGGAGGCGGAGGTGGTCTCTATAACATTGGCCTCATCACTAACACAAAACTCATGAGATAAAATTGCCATTATGGGTGCTAGTTGCCAAGCGGGTATAAACACTGGCCTCTGACTTGCTCGCGGTTTGTAATATCGACGTACTGTAAAATCTCTCTCAGGCTTACAATAGTTGTGTAAGGTGTATCTATGCCTCATGATGAAGTTAGGTTAGATTAGGTTAAGTTTGGTTAGATTAGATTAGGTGTTTTGAACCTAACGTATATGTTGGGCTTAGAAACTTAAAAGCGACCACAGCGCGTTGTGGTTGCTTTTCGTTTTCTGAGCCCAACATATACAAAAACACGCTGCTTCTGAAAACCCGAGATAAAACTGGCAGCCGTCAGGGTTTGAGTAATACTGAGTCACATGTTGACATCGCGAACCAGATAAAACATATTTAACAGTAACGTAGCCGGGGAAATTACTCCTCATCACGTCAAGAATGTTTTAAACATAATATAACTTTGTTTTGTCATAAAAGGTGACAAGTTATTTGTTTCATTAAAAGTTGCTGATATAAACTATTTTTTTTCGTGGAAACCCGTTAGAAGTTATAATGATGAAATATTGTTACATTTTCTGAATATGTTGAAGTGTTTATAGAGAATGAACACACACACACACACACACACAAACACACAGTAATAGATGTATACGTAACCTCTCACACACACACACACACACACACACACACACACACACACACACACACACAATACATTGCAATCACTCGGAATCGAGTATGACGATCATTCAGCTATAATACGATGATATGAGTTATTAAGGATATCACCTTCGTTGGTGAGTTTTGCGGTGACTAAAGAAGCCGATAAAGAACCGGCAGAGTCGTTCACAGATGTTGCACATGTGGAAGGCTCCATATAATGCGGGAAGGGCGCCGGCAGCGTCTTTCCGAAGTTGGTGCTTGTCTGCCTCGGTTTGCAATCGGGCTAACTTGAAAGTATTGGCAACTTTTCGTGTGTTGCTCCTCCAAGGGTTACGATGTGGAGTAATCGTCTCCAAGGTGAGGGGGTCGATTTGGCACTTTTTTAGGTTTGTCTTAAGATTATCCTTATACCTTTTCAGTTGCCCGGCAGCGTTACGTTTACTATTCGTTAGGTGACTATAAAGTAACTGCTTTGGCATTCTACTGTCGTCCATGCGGGTAACATGGCCAGTCCAGCGTAGTTGTTCATGGATAATGGTAGCCTCGATGCTTCTACAGTTGGTGTCAGCAAGAATACTGGCATTTGTTCTCTTGTCTTCCCAGGGAACTCGGAGTATGGAACGTAGACTACGTTGGTGAAAGTTTTCAAGTGCCTTGAGGTTACTTCTGTATGTGACCCATGTCTCACTGCTTTATAGCAGGGTGGGGAGGACCACTGCTCGATATACGTGTAACTTTGTCGATAATTTCAGCTCCCTACAGCTGAAGACACGGTTTCGGAGATTGCCAAACGCTTGTGATGCACATCTGATCCGATGCTGAATTTCCTCATCGATGTCCGCGGTGGTGGACAGGTGGGAGCCGAGATACCGAAAGTGGGTAACATTAGAGAGGGTAGTACCGTTGGATGGATGGATGGATGGTGGACATGTGTCTGAACCAGGGGCAGGCTGAAAGAGAATAGAGTCGTATGTTCATTCACCTCAAGGCCGAAGTGTGCATACGTATCTGCGTAGATGTTCAAGATATCCTTTAGGTCGCGTTCAGTCGTGTGTGACAAGGGTGAGGTCGTCTGTACACTGAAGTTTAGTAATGGAAGCTGCCGACACCTTTGTTCTTGCCTGGAGTCATCTTGTGTTAACCATGTATACGCAGCCTGTGAACACCTCGGTCTTATTGTCTCCACTGACAAAACTAAGGTGTTCAACAAACAAGCTGGTAACCGCAAACGCGGCCCCGCCAAGTTCAAGATAGGTAACAACACTATTGACTATGTTTCTTCTTTTAAATATCTTGGTGCTTCCGTCCCTTGTACCCTACCTGCCATACAACAGCTAACCCGCCAATGTACTGACAGACTGAGACCTCTTAGAAGTGTAGCGGGGTACAGCCCGCACTATGGTGCTAATATTAGAATTGTTAAAACAATGTTCCTAGACTATATAAGATCTCTGATAGATTACCACGCACCAGCCCTGGTCATTCGTGACGGGAAAGGCGTTGACAAGCTCGAGAAAATGCAAAATAAAGCCCTCAGAATTATCCTAGGATGTCCCATGAGCACTAAAGTACTTAATATGAGGAAAGAACTAGGTATACCCATTACCCAATGTTAAAGATAGAATAATTGAAGTCAACCTCATGATAGCCCTGAGGCTTCTGCGTGGTGATCCTGATAACATTGTTTCCTTAAAATTGCTAGAATGTATGAACCATGGGACTACTGAGTCTAAATGGATCCAAACTACAGCTACACATATGAAGATGTTTGGATTAGACCACCTGTACAAAGTTGAGACACAACAGCGCTTCCTGCCACCCTGGCGGACAGTTCCCTTCGATATAACAATACCGACGTATCCGCCTAAAAAATTAATTATACAAAGCATTTATCTCCAACACACTGCCAAATTGAGAGCTCTTGAACACATACACACTCTACAGACTGATGATAATATCACACAGACCATCTACACTGATGGATCTCTAAACACCGCCTGTGGGAGGGCTGGAAGTGCTATTGTTGTGACTCAACCTGACGGTAATATAATTGAGAAAGGAGTTAGAATTAACAACTGGGCATCCACTCTACAAACTGAATTAGTTGCCATACTCACAGCTATTAAATTCATTGAAACCACTGTTACTGACAGTCTCATCATCACTGACTCTCTATCCTCACTACTTGCCCTTGGTACCCTCGACTCAGGTTGTCACGCTCTTGTCTCTGAAGCCAGACACAAATATGCGTGCCTTGTTGACCGGGGTGTCAGGGTCAAACTGTTGTGGATCCCCTCTCACATAGGCCTCATAAAACATGACAGAGTTGATGCCCTCGCCAAACTCGCGTCTAACAAAGACACCGTTGAATACAATTTGGGTCTGTCAAAAAGAACCCTTAAAACTGTAATTAGGAAAGAACTTATTGATGAGTTTGACGCAAGTAGACAAGTGCAAACAGGCACTAGTCGATCCATAGGTTACCATGATGAGATGTATCAAGTGAAACATGTATATGGAGCAAGTAACAAGATCACTAGATTACAAGATGTTGTAACCGCTAGATTAAGGTTAGGATATAAGTACCTTTGGCAGTATGTTCCTCAAGCAGATGTAAACAAAACTAAATGTAAAGTGTGTGGCCATACATATGGCCACACACTTGAACACTACGTCCTCGACTGTGTGAAGATAGAACCTTTTAGGGACAGGTCAAAGCACACTGTGTGTGAAATGGCACAACACTTCATCTCTCATGGCAAGATAGCCGACATATTAAGATTGTATCCACTTTTTTGCACTTAGTAACTATATCAATTCTCATGTACAGAACCAAATACGCAATGTGCTTGAATCCCTCCCACGTAAATGTGAATAACAAAGTGTGAGGCCAGACATACTGCCTCACACGCTTGTTCTCACGCATTTGTGAATAAGTTACCCTTTATGTATAGAACTAAACAAATAATGTAAATGAAATACTGTGTAACTTTCAGTGCCATAATATCCTGACAACGGGGGTTAATTATTATGACCCTTTGTAAACCCTACTCTGTAATCCTTTTGCGCTACCGCTCACAGGATGAGTGTGGGGTGCACAATAAAGTAGCCGCTGCAAGCGGCAAAATCAAAATCAAAATCATTATGTTGAAAAGACCCTCCATCCAGTACTCGATGTCCACCCCGCCGGCTGAATTGGCACTGGCACGAGTAAGAAAGGCAGCCAAGAAAATGGAAAAGAGAGTTGGTGTCAGTACACAACCTTGTTTATTTCCCGTTTGTATAGGGAAGAACTCAGACTGAGTGCCAATGAGCAGGACACTGCCGTTCATGCTGTCATGGTCACGTTGACTGCTAGTCTATTTAACTAATGATTCTTATTAAACTCCACGACCGCAAAACATGAGTGGGTTAGCAACCCCTGAGAAGAAGACGTGTTTTTCCCCATAGACGCTACACTTGTGTTTCCCTCCCAGTGTCCCAAGACAGTTATCAATGCGTTGTTTATTCCACTTTGTCCTGGGAAGCTCAATCTTAATTAGTCTGTGTATATGAACTCAAGTAATTCGCCAGACCTTTGTCAACTGAGGGTCATCTTTGAATGAGTAACAGTTAGAGTTGTTTGTAATCTCTGTCATTGCGTGAGTAGCGATCACTGGCAACTCAGGGATATATATACCCAGGGATGAGGCAGGGAGAGCGTCCCCTGACGCCGCTCCAATGTTTCTCCAGGTATGTTTATGTGTAGCCATTCAGTTTGATTCAGTCAATTATAGTGAATATCAGTGTTCATCAGTGTTCATGCTTTAACAGTTGAATTGTTATTCACCGGGTGTGAGAAGTAATATAACGTAAATACGTCTGTCGTCTAGACAAGAGAGTTGTTTGTGTTGTCATGCTTCCCAGTCCGTCCCCTGACGCCGCTCCAATGTTTCTCCAGATCCCATTGTGATTCTTGCATCGCTCAACAACTGCCCAGGATGTAGTAGATACCCAGCAGGAACCATATATGAAACGATGGCACCGATGCTGCCTGATTAATGTGCTCCACTGCCTCGTTGGGCCAGACCCCAGACTCGCCATGTGTCTGGCTACCACACACAATAACAACGGTCGTGAATCTCAGTGTTCTACCCTGGGACGCACCCTGGAAGTATATATCCACAGAGAGTGTTGTAACATGCATGTTAGGGATAATTAGTGGGAAATAATTATCCCATGTTGGGTAGTGGACCCCAGGTATCTGCTGATTTAATTATTAACGAGTATGTTGAGTAAAGTCTTGTAACTGTACTGTAATGCCACATACCACCAGTAGGTGTGAGAAGTACAGTAATCTACAATGAGTGCCATGTACTATGTATTGTGAGTAGGGCCAAGGAACTTGTCTTGCTATGCCATGTAATGTAACACCAGTAAGGTTGTGTGCAGAAGAGTGTAAGATCTGAGTAATTACTGTTGAGTAAAGAAATAAGAAAATAAGTAAAGAAGAAAGTACCGAGTCTACAATAAGCCCAGGAGTTGAGCCTGGTAGTTATATGATTAATAATATATCTTTTTCCCTTTGATTTCATATTAATAAATTTGTTTTTAGAGTACTTTAGGCGTATTCATTTCTCCCACAGTATTTTACCTTTATTTCCGTCCAAGTGACTTGATACCAGAATTACCATACCCATGTGCCTAGACCCTCGACCATGCTACCAAAAGAATGTCCATGCTACCAAAAGAATGACCATGCTACCAAAAGAGTGTCCATGCTACCAAAAGAATAGGTGACAGAACCGAGTAAGAGTAAGAACTAAGATAAGAGAAGTAGGTAAGATGAGGGTGGTGTAGAGGTGGTGGAACACACGCGCCCTCACAATGCCATCGTGGAGTTGCCTCACAATGGCGATGAATTTTGGTGGGCAGCCAAAACGGCTGAGGGTCCAACAAGAGGGCTTCCCTGTTGACCGAGTCGAAGGCCTTGGTTATATTGATGAAAGCCATGTACAGGTCATGGCGCTGTCTTCTGCACTTTTCCTGTATCTGGCGAACAGCAAAGGTCATGTCAGAGGTGTCACGTGATGGTCTAAGGCCACATTGAGATTCTGGGGGAAGTTTTCCGCCTCAGTAAGAAATCTGATTAGGAGGACTAGGGCGATATTCTTGCCAGCTACGAAGAGCAGCGAGTTCCCGTGGTAGTTGCCACGGTCAGACCGGCCTCCCTTGATCTTATAAATATTGACGTTGGAGGCGTCTTTGAGAGGTTGGGGGACTTCCACCTTTTCCCATATACTGTATTCTCCAGGAGAGAATGCAGACGGCTGGCTAGCAGAGGTCCTCCTGCTGAGATTCCATCAGTCCCTAAGGCATTGTTATTTTTCATCTGTTTGATCGCAGTAGCTACCTCATTCAGGGATGGAAGATAGCCGAGGTGGGTCAGCTCTGGACGCTGAGGGACCTGGTGGGTAGTCAGGACATCCACATCGGTATTTTTGTTGAGCAGTGAAAAATAGTGCTCTATCCAATGCTCAAGGAGGCCTTCATCATCTTTAATTATGAGCGAGATGATGGCAGCGCGTGAGTTGATTTATGTGGCGAGGCAGGAGCACCGGCTGCAACCACTCATCTTGGCTCATCTTATCTTTTTCCTGATCCAGTGGTGCAAATGTTGCAACCACTGGGGAAAGGGAGAGTTGCAATGGACTGCCGATAATCCAGCTTTTTGGGCTTCGCCTTAGTAGCCTGTCCATCATGCATTGCCTTTGTCCAACGGTGTAGTCGTTGGGTTCCCATGGTGATAACCTCTTCTGCCTATACCGCCATTGGGGTCTTGTTGGAGCTCTGTAAGCTTGTCTGCCCGATGTGGGGCTCCACTGCAGAGTTACGTTCGGGGTTTACTCCCTACCAAGGTTAATCCGCAAGGCAGCAGGGCAATGGTTGGTAGGCGCCAGGACGTGTCCAAATGCAAATGGGCCTATGCGCTGTCCCTTTGGGGCCCACTGCTACTCCGAGATCCCCTGTTGGTCTAGCCTGGGTCCACGAGGCACCCAGTTATCGTGTGTTGCCACGAGGAGGCACAGTAGGAGTCTTGAAGATGAAAAGGCTGTGTAATGGCAGGGGGAGACTTAAGCAAGGTCACCACGAGGGCTAGCCAGCGGCGGTTATTGAAAACGAGAAGAAGCAAGCAGTGCTGCCACACTAAACGCATTTTACCAACCTGTGTGCGAACGAACACACACACACACACACACACACGCACACACTGTAGCAGGAGGGTAACATAACTCTGCCTCACCACTCACCAACATGTTCTCCTCTCACAGGCGTCCTCTCCCAGGCTCCTTCCGACAGCCTCCTCTCTGGCCTGGTCGACAAGAACTACACTGGCTTTATCGCTGCCTCTTACGTCAAGTACCTGGAGAGTGCCGGGGCCAGGGTGGTACCAGTCCTGTACGTCGACATATCCTTTCCCACCCCTACTACCCTCATCCCTACCGATTCCAACCCCTATCCCTGCCCCCATACCCTCACCCTTACCTCCCCTACCACCTTACCATCCCTACCTCTTCCAATCCTTATCCACACCCTATCAGTGACAGTTAAAATAGTAAAAAGTAATAATAGAATTAATAATAATAATAATAATAAAAATAATAATAATAATAATAATAATAATAATAATAATAAATAATAATAAAAGTAATAATAATAATAATAATAATAAATAATAGTAATAATAATAATAATAATAATAATAATAATAATAATAAATAATAGTAAAAAGTAATAATAGTAGTAATAATAATAATAATAAATAATAATAAAAAGTCTACGAATAATAGTAATGATAATAATAAAAATAATAATGATAATAATAATAATAATAATAATAATAATAATAATAATAATAATAATAATAATAATAATAATAATAATAATAATAATAATAATAAATAATAGTAATATTTATCAAAGCACTGTTGACAAATTATCAATATTTTCTGACTAAATGAGATATATTCTTAACAATGGAATGTTAATAAAACTCTAGCTGAAATACCTTTTAGGGGATATAAGTTAACATACTGTACATGTGTTTTAAAGGATAAAACACATTTCTTAATTACGATAATTTAACTGAAGAATGGAAAATAATTATGATCACCTGAAGATTAGACACCCCAGCTCATTTCACCCGAATATTAACCATCCTAACACTAACCTAATATAACCTTCTCTCACATAACTAAGCGTAACCCAATGTAACTTAACTTGCCTACAGTAGCCTAATCTAACCGAGGGGGTTAATCTTCAGGTGAACTGATTAGTTTCATGTCTCTTCTCTCTCCCTTGTAACAGAACCCACCAGGATGACGCCTACTATGAGAACCTTGTTCATTCTCTCAACGGGTGAGTGACCTGTTGTGAGTGACCTGTTGGTGTGACCTGTTGTGAGTGACCTACCCTGAGTGACCTGTAGTGAGTAATCTGTTGTATGTGACCTGTTGAGTATGATCTGTCCTGAATGACCTATTGTGGATGACCTGTCCTGAGTGAATCTGTTCTGTATGACCTGTCCTGAATGACCTGTTCTGTATGACCTGTCCTGAATGACCTGCTTTATATGACCTGTCCAGACTGACCTGTTGTTATGACCAGCCCTGAGTGACCTGTTGTGTTTGATCTGTTCTGAGTGACCTGCTATGTATGGACTGTCGTTAGTGACCTGTTGTGTATGAAGTGTCCTGAGTGACCTGTTGTACTGTATATGACCAGCCCTGAGTGACCTGTTCTGTATGACCTGTCCTGAGTGACCTGTTCTGTATGATCTGTCCTGACTGACCTGTTGTATATGAACAGCCCTGAATAACCTGTTCTGTTTGACTTGTCCTGAATGACCCGTTGTGTGTGACCTGCCTTGAGCGACTTGTTGCAGAAGACACTACTCACCTCTCGTTCCGTCTCTCCTCTTCACCCTACAGGTTCCTCTTCCCCGGGGGCGGTGTGTCCATTACCAACACTAGTGGCTACGGTGCCGCGGGTCAGAAGATATATGACCTAGTGAGTATTTCTTTACCAACCTCTCTCTCTCTCTCTCTCTCTCTCTCTCTCTCTCTCTCTCTCTCTCTCTCTCTCTCTCTCTCTCTCTCTCTCGTCTTAAGGCTACAGTATACCAGAATATTTGTCTGAGTGTTCCTGCAGGCTATCATCAATAAAAGGTACTGTACTATGAAGAGTATTAGTGGATGTATGGTGACAATGAGACAGTTTCTTGCTGGATATGAGCCCCTGATGTCCATCCACCCTGCGGCTTCGTTCAGCATCAGAGACTAAGACGCTATACTCTACGAATGGAAGGAATTTATTGTCGATTGTTCACTTATTTCACCTGTTGAGAAAAATGAATGCTGGTTTACCTGAATTTGATAATATTTTGGCATGAACGTTGTGGGTGTGAGTCGTGTGCCCTCCAAGTTTGCTGTTTGTTTCTTGGTTATCATTCAAACCCCCAAAAAGTAGGTTTCATCGCAATCAGTCCATCTCTTTCCCAGATAATTATTAAGTCTATTTAGGTGATTAAGTGTGAATTGTTCAGGTTAGATTAGGTTAGGTTAGGTTAGGTTAGGTTAAGAAGCAGCTCATCCCCTTGTGTTTGCTTATCATTCTTCTGGTACTGGAGACCGACTCAAAGAAACTAACACACCTCCTTAGGTAAAAGAGCTCAACTCGAAGGGAATCTACGTGCCACTGTGGGGGACCTGTCTGGGTTTCGAGATGTTGACCTACCTGGGAGCCAATTACGTCAACTTACTAACCGCCTGCAACGCTAACAACAAGGCTGACCCCCTCAACCTGCAGGACGGTACGTGACGACACACACCTTTGGAACTACGGCAATGGTATAATAGTTTCGTGTTCTGATCAACAAACTTGTTACCTTCACGACAATTTGGGAATACTGTATTGTTTCACAGGTAACAATGAACTACCTAAAGATATGATGTCGCTTCTTATTTTACCTGATAATTAATTACCTTATGTAAACCAAACCTAACCTAATTTAACCTAACTTAACCTGACATAACATAACATAACGTAACCTAACCTAACATAACCTAACCTAACCTAATCTTCACGCACCTGAACTCACCTGACAGGTTACCTAGACTCAAGAATCTTCAGCCAATTGCCAGAGGACAGCGTCAACTCACTTAGGACCCTCAACGTCACCGTCAACTTCCACCATCATTGTATCACCCCCGAGGTAAGAGACTCTGTAGAGCAGGGGTGGCCAACCCGTCGATCGCATGACAGTTAAACTTAATGACCAGCTGCCATACAAAAATTATATTAAAATTTTGCTCATAATCATTATGGATATTATTTGTGTTTAGATTCTTTCTGGGAATAGATTATCATTATGGACACATCAGAACGATACATATAGAAAAACTTCGACTGTGCCATGCTGTATATGGCGGAACCTGATAGGAAGTGTTTGCGTTCATACGATCAGGTGTTGGCTGGTTCCTGGTGACGAAACTGATCAGCAAGTTGTCATCAGTTGCAGGCTTAAGCTAAGCATGTATTTGCTTTTATAAGTTTACAAATACACGTTAAACCTTGTATTAATGAATTTGGTAATGAAAAAGTCGACTCAGTATTGAAGAGTCTTGTCAAAAGTAAAGAGAGAGAATCATATTTGGCAACCTTGCCCAGCGAGCCTACACACTTGTCACCAACAATGCAGTGATTTTCAGTCATCTGCAATACTTGGAATTGTGAGGTGCTGTCTCTAGTTATGGAAAAGTCTTGGGTGATTACGAGAATTACTGACTCTTTAGCTTAGCAACAGTTCTCGCCGCAACCCTAGAGTAGTCAGAACTGTTCACGCTAGCCGGCGACAATTTCTTAGGACAAAAAAGAAGTTAAAAACGTTACGCTGTTACGGTTATTAATTCTCATATTCAAGTAGGAAAAGTAGTGGAAAAAGTAATTCTCGTATTCACGTCGGACCTTTTATTTTCAAAATACATGTTATTGGCCACCAACTGAACCAAAATTGAGTTCTGGACCAAGTTCTAAAAAGACTAAATATACCATTTTCACAATGAATGTGAAGAAGAATATTTTTTACCATGAATAATTTGAAGTGTGTGTGTCTGTCTGATCTGCCCTGCGTCTCCAGCTCTATCTAAGAAAGGAAATCTTTAAAGGCATTCCAAAAGTTTTCACAAGAATTATGATAATGATTTCCCACCCAAAGTGACCTACGAAAGAGGAAAGTTCATGAACTGAAATCACAGCTTACTGCACAACGAACTCTATTTACCGGCGCGAGCTAAAAATCAAAGGTAGCAACCACTGCATCATTCAGGGTGAGTCGAGTACTTACAAAGCATAAAAAAAAATCATTTCAAGATGAAGAAATATTTAAAGAGGCCGTTTTAGAAGCAGCAGATTCGTTGTTTCAAAATTTCAAGAATAAGTCTGAGATACTGTCTTCTAATAAGGCTGTTCAGTTATCAAGAAAAACTGTCATGAGGCGCTGTGACTGAGGATTTGGGTGAACAACTGAAAAAAAGACATACGTGAGTGTGTGTTGTTTTCATTACAATAGGATGAGTCTACTGATGTGGTCGATGCATCACAATTATGCAAATGCATAATGCAATCATTAGAATGGTGTTTAAAGACATGAGTACCAAAGAGGAACTGATGAAAATTTTACCATTAAAAGGAAAAACTCGGGATGAAGATATATTTCAGACAGTGATTTTGTTAGTAGTACACAGTTGCCAGTGAGTAAGCTCGTATCTATAACAACTGATGGAGCACCTGCAATGGTTGGCCGAATCAGTGGGTTCATTGCCCTGTGCAGGAGTGATGATAGATTTCCTAACTTCTTTTTTGGCCTCGAAAGTTTGGCCTTCTGATCACAACGAAGTGTGGCTGTTAGATTTAGCTTTTTTAGTTGACATGACTGCTATGCTGTTAAATTTAGATCTGCTTGGGAAAGATAAAACTATAGTTGACATGATTAATGGTGTTACGGCTTTCAAGCAAAACTAAAACTACTTTCTTCGCAGCTGCAGCAACACCAACTACGAAACTTTATAAATATGATGTCTAGGTATAACATCGACATAGCAGCCATTAGTGAGTACTGGCTCCCAGACGAGGGTCAACTCACAGAACGGGGTCCGGCTAAATCTTCTTCTGGAAGAGTAAACCTGCTACGGAGAGGAATGCATTTACGGAGTTGGCTTTGCCATTCGCCATTCCATCCTACATAGGCTAACTGAAATGCCTGTTGCGATCAACAAGCGCCTCATGGCGCTCCGAGTTCCACTGAATCACTCACGTCATGCCTTCTTCATCAGTCCATATGCTCTAACACTGGGTGCGGAGGATGACATCAAGGAGGCCTTTTATGCGGACCTCGACAGCGTGCTAACCTCTATTCCCAGAGAAGATAAGGTTGTGATGCTTGGTGGCTTCAATGCCCGAGTTGGCACAGATGCTGACATATGGCAGGGAACCATAGGGAAAAACAGAGTAGACAAGTGTAATCCCAACAGCCTACTCCTCCTCAGCAAGTGTGCCGCACACAACTTCACTATCATTAATACCTTGTTTAGGCAGGCCGACAAGTTCATGTGATCTTGGCAACACCCACGATCCAAACATTGGCATTTCATTGACTACATCATTGTTAGAGAAAGAGATTACTGAGATGTCCTCATCACCCGAGCCATGCATGGCTCAGACCACTGTGACACTTATCATCGGCTCATTAAAGTCAAACTCTCCCTTCGTGTCAACCCATAACGGCAAAGGAAACAAGCCTCTTGAAGAGGGTTTAACACCAAGTGACTGGAGGATCCAACGCTGGCACATGCTTTCTGAGAGAAGCTCAATGAAGAGCTGATAAACAGCCCAACTACAAACATCCATAATACCAGAGCCGAATGGGGTCCTATCAAAGCTGTCATCATAAAAACCAGCAAGGAGACTTTCGGCCAAATCAAAAGAAAACACCAGGATTGATTTGATGAAAATGACCCGGAAATTGAAGTACTTATCAATAGTACACGTGCTGCTCTCACTGACTAGTAGAACAACCCTCAGTCTCAGGCCAAATCTGATACCTTCCACGAGATGAAAATGGCGGTCCAGGGCGAACTTCGCAAACTAATGAATGAATGGTTGGAAAATACTGTCGAGGGTTTAGATGTTAACGCCCTCGGGTTCTCTTAAAGATTATTGTCAGGTGGAACACTCTCACTTTCATCAAGGATAGTGAACAAGATTATTGATATTTGTAAAAAAAATCGTTTATTTACAAGTATTTACATTGATCATCGGTATGATAACAGTACAGAGCAACATAGGTGGTATGGAGGTGCCGGACCGCCGGTCAGAACAAATGTCGAGAGTGTAGACACTACAGTAGATGTGAAAGATAGGGTCTTGGAAGGCAACACGGTAAATATGTGTCTTCTCATCAACAAAGGCACAGGAGTATCCTCTTAACCGGCACAGGTACTTGATAATGGACCCGAGAGGAACAGCACAGAGGCTAGGGCTGACAGTATCCTAGCTGGCGTGCTGACATCGAAGGCTAGGAGTGCAGCAGTTTACACCAACGTGACCATGAATATAAAAACTGCAACAATAGAGTACATTTAGAATATTGTCTAATTATTTTAGTGGTAACGGTTAACATGCTATTATATTTGCACAATTCATACTCACTAAGTTGTACATATATTGTAATTAACAAACCGATTACACAAAACACCCTTAAAACACAAATAAAACCATTGAAACAATAAACCAAAAACGATAATAAATAATATGGAATACTCACGGGTAGCAGACGACCAACTGGGTCAGAGGAAGGGAGCCAAGTGACCAGCCGTACGGTTACACCCCGCACTATGACTCGGTTCGGACTACCCATGAGCAACACCTGCTTCAGACACAGAGAACAAACCCAACACTGAACAACACTGTTCCAACAATCATTGGACGGGAATATAAACCAAACCTCTCGCAAATTTAACCTGTGAAATGCAAAAATTTGCGGATCAACACAAGATGCGTGAATTTTTCAATTCCGCTAAAACAATATATGGCCCAACTTCTCATGGTGTTGCTCCCCTCCTTTCATCCGATGGTAACTCCCAAATTAAAGATGAAGGAAGCATCAGTCAGCAATGGAAAGAGCACTACCATTCGCTGCCCAACCGAAACACCGATGTGGATGTCCTGACTAACCAGCAAGTTCCTCAGCACCCAGAGCTGACCCACCTCAGCTATGCCCCATCCCTGGATGAGGTAGCTACTGCCATCAAGCAGATGAAAAATAGCAAAGCCATAGGGCCTGATGGAATCCTGGCCCAGGTTTTTTTTTTTTTTACGGGAATTATCTCACCCGGGCACAGGTCAAACGACCCACATCGGGGCCTGGGGGGGGGGGGGGGCGAAAAAAGAACAGAACGAAATTGAAAATAGAGAAGAAAAAGGTTATATTGTGTTAATCTACACCACGAAGATGCCGGAAAACCAGCTTTTTAAAGTGAGACAACTTGTATAAGTATGGAAACACAGAAGAAGGCAGAGCATTCCACAGTTTGGCTGTGTGAGGAAAGAAGGAGGTACTATAACGGGTTATTCTCGTGTGACCGACATCCACAGAGAAACGGTGGGCACCGCGGGCAAGACGTGTGCTACGAGCCACGGCCTTGCCGGCGGTACACAGGATGCCAAATCCACCGAACATTGCCCGTTAAAGTACCTGTAAAAGAGAGAGAGTGAAGCAACTTTGCGGCGAAGAGAAAGGGAAAAGAAATTTTCGACTAAAGGAGGAGAGTTAATAAGATGAAATGCCTTTGATTCCACCCATCTTATAGTTGGACAGAAGAAGAGCCACCCCAGATATATATACTTGGAGCAACTGCTCAGGAGTGAAGTAGCTACGGCATCTGTACAGCATTCCCAACTTTCGGGAGGCAGCTTTAGTTATACTAAGGATGTGTGATTTCCAGGACATATTGGAGGAAATGGTGAGGCCTAACATATTTATTTCAGAATTTGTTATTGGTAAATATTGAGTTTTATTACTATTGAACTTAACCAAGTTTCTACCTCCCCATTCAGAGATGCTGCACAGATCCGCATTGATAGAAGTAATGAAATCAGTTCTAGAAACAGATCTAGTTTGAGAGTTAGGAGGAAGGGGAAAATGTGAAGAAGAGT